CAGCAGGAAAGGTTTACCTACGCGCAAAGACCAATTAAATGTAGGGGAGAAAATGTGGACGGTTGTTATTTTAACTGTTAGAAGGTTTAGGACGATTGTCATTATCACTGTGTGTGTGTGTGTTTCTTTAAATCAGTAATTTGACTTTATTTGCTTGTATTCCAAAATGTTAAACAATTAAAATATCATTACATCTTCTATATGTGTACCTCTGTACTCACTCCATATAATCTGTGTTAAGACTGCATGAACATGCGTGTCCAGCTGTGTTTTGTACTTGCCAAATGTGGATATGATTGATATTTTTGGCACTCTCACTCTCTTTCACACACACTCACACACACATGCAGTGTTCCTCCCTGATCCAGATGTTCTGTATTCAACAGCGCCTCAGAAGTTTTGGCAAAACATGACACACTCATCCCTCACACTTCTTCTTAACGAGTTGCTTGCAAAGCACATCTCATACAAGGAGAGAGATGGAGGATTTTGGGAAGGAGAGTATGATGCTGCCACACACACACATACAGTGAGTCATCGCCGCCTCGAATTACGGTAAAGCCATATGTATGTGCAGCTTCAGAGTGACAAGGAGGGGAGAGCAAGAGGTGGGGATAGCGTGTAAGTGTGTGTTACAGCAGGAGATTATCTTGGCTTAGTCATCACTGAACTGACCACTTTAAATGGACACAATGTACCTCTTTCTGTTTTACCCTCTCAGTACAGTTCAATTCAAGTCGTAGTTTATTGGCTGAACAACTGAGACTCTAATGTGTTGTGCCAAAGCTTTCAGTGTGAATCAGAGTCAGTTTTAACTTGTAGTGGAAGGGAAAGCTCCAGAGCGCAGTATCACTACATTCAGCACAAACAGGTTATTGTACTGTTTTCGGATAAAGAACACCATATGATTTATCATTACCATAACATTTAAAGGGTCTATGCATCGTAAATAATGGCCTTATTAATGGTTAGTAAATCATTTACGTCATGAATCACTATTAACATAAACCTTTAGGTTCCAGGTTAGGCCATTTATTCTCTGAGATCTGAACCTAAATCCAATTTGTAACTACTCATTACCATTTATAACAGCAGGCTTGTTGATTTAGAGAAAAACCTGTGGGAATTTATTAATGGATAAGCGAAACACAGATAAAAAAAAGTCAAGTTAGAGGTTTCTTTTGACATTTTAAGGAATAGATGGAACAGCTATCAAAAAGTTGTTAAGCTGGAAAAAAAAAACTGATGTTGTTTTAAATGTGCTTTATAAATCAAATTCTTCTTCTTCTTCTTTTTATTATTATTATTGTTATTTCCATTAACAGATTTCCAACATGTATAACTCCATTACTAGCAAATACAAAGGACTACCACAAGTTCGTTCTCATTCACGGCTTACACCTGAACTATAAAGCAGTAAATGACTGATGACTTTGGATGCATCTGTTACTTCCAGGCTGGACTACTGTAACTCTTTACTATCAGGATGTCCCAATAATTCCCTGATAGGAACTAGCAAGGGAGATCATATCTCTCCCATATTAGCTTCTCTCCACTGGCTCCCTGTAAAATTCAGAATAGAATTTAAAATCCTTCTCCTAACATACAAAGGCTCCATCGTATCTTAAAGACCTTGTAGAGCCTTATCATCCTAACAGAGCACTTCGCTCTCAGAGTGCAGGTTTACTTGTGGTTCCTAGAGTCCACAGAAGCAGAATGGGAGGCAGAGCCTTTAGCTATCAAGCTCCTCTCCTATGGAACCAACTCCCAGTCTCAGTTCAGGAGGCGGACACCCTCTCTACCTTTAAGATTAGACTTAAGACGTTCCTTTTTGATAAAGCTTATAGTTAGGGTGATATAATATTGTTGTTTGACAGTGGTGCGGTGGGTAGAGCAGACATCTCCCATCCTGAAGTTTGAAGGTTTGAATCTGTGCCTGCAGT